CCCTGAGGGAAGAATGTCTGCTTTGTTAGTTCCATTTAATCTTTTTTGTGGTGAAATTCACACAGAATAAAGTTGACCATTTTGACCATTTAAAAGTGTACAGTGCAGTGACATTCTCTTCATTCGCTGAGTAGTGTGACTGTCACCATGCTCTAGCTCCAGAGCATTTTCCTTGTCCCTGTAACACGCCCCAGCCCTGGTGACTTCATCTACTCTGTCTCTACAGATCTGCCTGTTCTATTAAACAGATACTTCACACAAGCGGAGCCACCTGTCCCTTCGTATCTAATTTCTTTCACGCAGCACAATGTTTTCAAGGTGCACCCATGTTGTAACATGTGTCGGTATGCCATTCCTTTTCATGGTTGAGTAATACTCCATTTTATGGATAGACCACTTGTTGTCTACCCCTTCATCCATCCACAGACACTGGGTCATCCCTGCCTTTTGGCTATTGTGAATAATGCTGCTACGAACATCCACGTACAACTCCTGTGTTCAATTCCTCTGGATCTGTACCTAGGAGAAGAATTGCCCATGGAACATTTCATGCAACTATTTACTAAGCGGGAGGCCTAGGCAACATTATCAGAATATTCTGTGACTTTCTTCATCCACTCAAGTGAGGCTAGAGGGCAGACAGCGCTACAGACACAGACGCAGCAGATAAAATGCAGTGAGGTAGGAAGGTGCTCGTAGTATCTCAGGCTCAGTAGGAATCGGGCTGGACACATCCACCCTGTAGGTGGGGCACGGGCTTGGCTGAGGGCGGCTGGTGTCTTCACCTGTTGGGTTGTGGAGGCCACTGGGTTCCCATGTACCCTCAACCAGCCTCACTGTTCACTTTCTTGTGTCTCTGTGTCCCCACGGCCCACCAGGAGGACACAGCCTCCGCATCACCCAGTCCCTGTGGGTGAGGGAGACCAGCATGTGCTGGCTGCTCTAAGGCAAGTGTCCAGGTCTAAAGCAGTGTCCAGGTGGCCTTCTCCCTGCACTGCTCTGCTTGCTTGGCTCATGCCAAGCCATGCGATGGAGAGAAAGTTCTGGGGTATGTGGGAGGGGCAAAGTTTGTGCTTTTGGAGGTAGGAAATAGTGAGCCATGGCAGGTCTCTGAGCAGAGGATGCAGTAGATATGAAAGGTCAGGCTGACGGTTGATGGGATGGCAGGAGCTTGGAGTTAAGGAGACCAGATAGGAGTAGATTCTAATTATCTAGGTGTAAGGAGGCTCCGAACAAGCTGGTGTCTGTGTCAAAAAAGAGAAGATATAAGAGGGATTTATTTAGAAGGGGGAATCCCCTGGGCTTGGTGATTAACTGGACACAGAGAAGGTGGAAGGATGAATGATTATGCATCCAGAGGGAGGGCAGATGGGCGATGTGGTGGGTTGCCATACTGAGGCATCCATATAGAAGGGTTAATTAGGTGAACGGAGAAATGGACAAAGAGCTCAGGTGAGAGAAGCAGACAGGAGATAAAGTTGGAGAGTTATAAACCATGCTCCAGGAAGAGACGAATTTCCTGAAGGTAAAAGGGAAGACATAAGTGTAAAGGTTCTAGGTGAGCCTTGAACCCCTGCAGAATAAATTGAGTGGTATATTATGCTCATGAATGGGAAATTTTAATATTATAAAGATATCAATTCTCCCCAAATTTAACTATACATTCCATTGATGTCTTTATAGGATGAGATAAATCGATTCTAAAATTCATATGGGACAGTAAAAGTTCAGGAATAGCCAAGGCAACTTTGCTGCAGAAGAATGAGAGAAGCCTGCCCTACCTGTTTCCAGATGTATTGTCTAGCAACAATTAAGATAGCACAGTGCTGTCCAGGGTTAGACAGATATGTCAATGGGACAGATGGGGGGTGCAGAAATGATTTGTGTATAAGCAGGGCTTTAGTAGACAGTAGAGGCAGGTTTCCAAATTAGTGAGAAAGGATGGGCTGCTTCATAAATGGCATTGGGGTAATTTACTTTCCATATCCATACCATCAAAATAAAGTTAGGGACTTACCTCCTACCATATCCAGAATAAATTACAGATGGGTTAAAGCCTTATATGTGAACATGAAAACCTGTGGTAGATTCAAGATGGCTATAATTCTTTGCCATTTCTCTCATCCAGAGATGGAGTATAATCCCCCTGCTTGAAGCTGGGCCAGCCCTATGCCCTCTTCACCCACGTAGAGAAGTCACGCTGAGACCTCTGAGGCTAGGCCACAAGAAGATATGTCTCTCTCCCTTCATCTCTCGGTGTGTGTCTGGGAACCCTGATTCTCCAAGTAAATAGTCCAGCTACCTGCTGAAAACGGAGCCCATGAGGAGAGGACAGACATGGAGGAGTGTTGAGACAGCAAGTGTTCCAGAAGGGTCTATCTGGGGCCTTCCAGTGTCTCTCACCTCCAGGGGTTCCCAGTCCTAGCTGCTGACTGCTTGTGGCTACATGAGAGGCCCCAAGTGAGACCAGCAGAGCTGCCCAGCCAGATGTCATTACCCACAGAACACAGAGGAACAACATGGCTGTTGTTCTAAGCTACTTCATTTTGTGGCGGTTTGTTATGCAGCAGTGGGTGACTGAAGTGCTCCAATATACAGTTTATAGCTACTGTGATGTGTTGAATTGCGACTGCCATTCAACGTACGTTGAAGACCTAACCCCCAAGGTGATGGTATTAAGGGGTGGGGTCTTTTGGGAAGTGACTAGGTAACGAGGAGTCTGCCCTCATGATTGGATTAGTGCTCTTATAAAAGAGGTTGAAGGGAATAGGGTCCTTCTATCCCTCCCCAACGTGAGGACACCTAGATAGCATCATCTGTGAGGAACAGGCCTTCACCAGACACTGAACTTGCCAGCACCTTAATCTTGGACTTCCAGCTTCTAGAACTGCAAGAAATACATTTCTATTATTTATAAATCACCCAGTCTCAGGAAGTTTATTATAGCAGCACAAATGGACTAAGATACCAAGTATTTCAGAATGTGACCTTATTTGGTGATAGAGTCATGGCAGATGATGCAGTTAGTTAAGATGAGGTCACACTGGAGTAGGGTGGGCCCTTAATCAAATATGCTGCTGTCCTTGTAAGAAGAGGAAAACTTGGGCAGGGAAGAGTTACACAGAAAGAAGACAGGTACCTGAGGATAGAGGCAGAGATTGCAACCATGGGCCAAGGAGGCCTGGGGCTCCCAGAAGTTGGAAGAGGCCTGAAAGGATTCTCCTTCAGAAGCTTCAGAAGGAGCATGCACGGCCCCGGCCTGTCAGTCCAGCCAGCCCTAACTGTGAGCCCCCCTGCCAGCGGGACCACTCAGACCTACTTGCAACCTCAAAAGCCATTCACTTTCTAGTTCATTGTGAACCCCTGGAGGGCAGGAACCAAATCTCAATCATGCTTGTGTCCCCCCAGGCTTGGTATTGTGGCTGGTGTGAAAGTCACTCATGCTAGGAACATCCTGAAAAACAGAGCCAGAACCCATGAAAGGGGTTCTGACACTGGCATGCCTGATAACAAAAAGGACCCTGGAAAAACCACAACCGTGCACAGTGGCCATCGCAGCCTTATGCAAAAAATACTTCTGTAAGGACATCTGCTCGGAGACTGCCTGTCCAACCTCAGACTGCTAACAGTCTGATAACTATCACAGTAACTAACAATCAATCACCTTTGTTATTGATCTTTGTAGCCACAGCTCTCAAAACAATTATGTAATCCTCCTCATTTTCCCTTTAATAACCTTAGTCTTCCTTTATCTCCCCAAACATGCACATAGTTTACTATGGCACATGTATTCCCATTGCAATGCCCTACTCTGGAATAAATACCTTTTCTTTTAGAGAGCCTCTCTTTATTATTTAGGTTGACACTTGCATGCAACAGGCATTCAATAAGTATTGAATTCTGTTCAATAAATTCTGTTCTAAGGAAGAGGCAGTAGTGGCTGAGGAGCCTGGACCTCCTACGAGTGCCTTCCACACACAGAATGTCCACTTCCACTCCAGCCCCACATGGCTGTGGTCCCGGCAGCCTTACACAGCCTCCTGGAAGTCTCAGCACCCATTGGAAGGAGGAAACTGAGAGGACATGGCAGGCTAACCTGCTCAGGGTCACGCCTGTCCCAGGCGGGCCAGGCCTGAGTGGACACTGCCCACCAGGGCTCTAATCAGAGCGTTCATTCTACCGCTGCAATTTCTCTAAAAAATTCTAAACGCCATGGGCCGGATATTGTAAAAGCATTTCAAGGTTTGCTCTATTAAAAAAGGAAGGAGGGAAGATTTCGCTAGAAGTCATTGCAACCTCCAAAATAAAATTCTCATTCCAAGTTTTAAATAGAGAAGCTGTCCATTCTTCAGACACAAATAGGATAAAAGTCTTCTTGCAAAGGGAAAAAAACAAAAACTTACACTAGAAAGTGCTCCCCACCTCCGCCTCCCCAGCCAGTAAGAGTCTTAGGATGGGTTTGCCGCTGATTCAAGGTAGACTTTTTACCATGACCTCGGTTGGCGGCCAGAGGTGTGCACCCGCAGAGACGCAAATCATCCGAAGACGGGGTGTAGGAGGTCGCCCGCTTCACCTAAGGACAGCGGGACAGAGAGGGGTCTCCATGGCTCGCTCCGGGACATACGGCTGTGGTCGCCGGAACCCTGGTCTTTGGCCTCGCTCTGGGGGAAGCGACGGCCCCTGCGGTCTGGGTCCCCACATCAGACCAGTTCGTAGAAGTAGGAGAGGCGGACGGAGCTTCTGGAACTTTCGTTTTCCACCAGGAGCAGTCCTAAGCTTGGAGCTGGAACGATTGCTTAAACTGGGCTGGAGAGTTCGGCCCCTCGGGGCGAAAGGAAGCTGATATCCAGCGAAAGAGCGAGTCCAG